ACACGATTTTTTCGTGCTGGCTTTTGAACTGGCTCCTGGCTTTCTTAAATTTTGTTCAAAAGCCAGCGAAGAGAGCGACGCCGCCGGGTGTTTGTGGGCAAACGCGCCTGAGAAGGCCAATTTCGCTAATAAATTCATTTATTATTTTAACATCTCTCTAATTTTATATACTGATTGATTTACAAATGAAATTTTTATAATGTATGAATCATAATAATATATTGTTAATTTATTAGTCAATTGAATTAGATAATTGTAAATACATATGTTATTATTTATGTGTTCAAGGGTCCATTCTGGTTAGTTGGGCCAAAAAATAGGTCATTTTCAGAAATTTTTTGTGGACAAACGAAAAGACAGAAAGTTCAAACTTGTCACATATATTTATCATAGTTTAAAGATGATTTAGCAAAAATTTCAATTTCGACGTTAGCCCATGCCCAAAAAAGGAACCCCTCTGGCGACCATTCTGCAGGACGTAAAAATCGACAAAAACCAAAAATTAAAAAATCTTGTTTAGTATGAATGTGGTTATGGAATAGGCTACTTTTATCAAAATTTAATAATTAATTAATAATAATTTCGTTTATTTGAAAAATGTCTTCCCTTTTTGGTTGATAAAAATCCAATGTTTAAGCTATCAATATAATTGTACCCTATTCCATGGACACGTTAAATACGCGTATTTAAAAAAAAAATCATTAAGATTCGTTAAAAATTGACTGAGATATTATGGTCACCAGCCCGAAAAACGTAGTTTTCCAGAAAACGCGTTTAAAGTTTTATGTTTGCTCTGTAGCTGCTTTGAGTCGGCCGGTTCGGAGGCTCATAACTTTTAAACTATTACGTATTTCAAGTTGTCCTTTTTGTATGTTATTATACACACTTAAAGCTATCGAAACTTGCAAAAAAAAAATCAATTTTTTTTTTCAACTAACCAGAATGGACCCTTAAATCACGGGCTATATCTCAATCCAATCCAAAACCTCTCGGATTGTTTTCTTGCCCAAAGCAGGAAAGTGCAGCCTCGTGAGCCCCAAGGATTACAGACCGATAGGCCTCACCTCATGTCTCCTTAAAACTTGCTGGTTTTATGCATCAGGAACGAGGGGAGTCTACAGTCGACCAACAAGCGAAGGGGGAATCAGTGGAGACGGAACTACATTCGTTGGCAGCCACCGTTGAGAGAGCCCTACACTATAAGGAATATGCACTCGGAGTGTTCGTGGACATATCCGGGGCATTCAACAACGGTAGCACGGACGTAATAATGGATCGCCTAGAACCGACCAACACACTTGTGCATAAGAAATTTTCTAAGTTGCCGGCGGATAAAATGAGATTGGTGCCCCGCTTACATGGTGAGAGGAGCGCTCAGAGGCACGCCGCAAGGTGGGGTCCTATCGCCCCTTCTATGGAATCTTGTGGTAGACGACCTAATCAAGAGATTCGAGAGGAAAGCACCAAAGATAACAGCTTATGCGGGAGTCTGTCCATCGACCCCCAGCTAGATCATGGAAACAACGCTCATGGAGATATGTGAGTGGGCGGAGAAGGTAGGAGTCAATATCAATGCGGATAAGACGAACCTCATTCTTTTCACCAAGAGATACAAGATGCCGCAATGGATCCCCCGAAAATTAACAATACCAGGCTGACTGCGAAAATGGGGTCTCTTACCCGCTCTAAGGCATTGGGTCTACATATCGGTGGTGCGTCCGACTCTGCTGTATGGAGTCTTAGTCTGGTGACAAGCCATGGAGAAGAAAACTTATAATAAGCTTATGGAGAGAACCCAGCGGCAGGCACTGCTCTGCATATCAGGGCCCTGAGGTCAACCCCCACCAAGGCACTCGAAACCATAATCGGTATATTGTCATATATACCTACATTCATTATTATTAAATATAAATCATAAGTGTTACCGCCATAAAATAGATACCGAATCTTTAGCTGGGCGATAAAAGGTGTGACCATTGAGTTTCTAAGAATTGAAGGTATTTTTCCTGGAAATGTATCTGGCCACTTGAGAAAGCACCGGCCTGGGATAAAATACAAAGTTTTTTAAAGCTGCGCATTTTTTTGTAAAACTTAATGAAATAAATAAAGTGACTGCTATATAAATTTGTCGAACATCTAATAACTCTACGCCAATCATCCGTGCTCTCAACATTTCTTTAAAAAACTTTATAAACGCTAAAACTTAGCCGCAATTACAAGTGACGCCAACCAATTGTGAAATTCATTTTGAGACGCCCGCATACATACATATAAGCCAACATACATACCATATACGTGTATAAGGGCTAGGTAGATACATATGTATAGGAACTCGATGAAATAGATCACGCCAGGTACACACAGTAAAACGGACTACTGAAAATGGCTCCGGAAAGAGATATAACGCTATGCAAATCTTGCAATAAGAGCCGCCTAACAAATGGTGTCCAAAATTGGGTGCAGTGCGACGCTTGCAAGGAATGGTACCACTTCGCATGCGCTGGAGTAGACGACTCTATTGCGCGTGTACGATGGACGTGCAACTTGTGCATACATGTCGACGGCTCTTCCTCAACATCGACGCGCGCCGCTATACAGCCAAACGAATCGGAAAACGCCGCACCAAACAAAGATGCCGCCATATTGTTAATGGAACCCAATTCGAATAAGCCGGCGGAGACATCATTTACTCAAACTTCAAACAACTTAATGATGGCGATGCTGGAAGAAACGCGTGAATCTGAAAGAAAATATATCGAGCAGAAATACGCAATACTGGCACAGCAGCAGGGGATGCAGGAAAGGCCCATCCAATTATTTGGACCAACTTCATCTCAACTAGCAGCAAGGCAAATTCTACCAGCGGACCTGCCGACTTTCAATGGCAACCCAGCAGACTGGCCAATCTTCATAAGCATGTACGAGAACAGCAGCTCGGTAGCCGGATTTTCGGACGCAGAAAATATGCTTCGGCTCCAGAAGTCTCTCAAAGGAAAGGCTTATGAATTGGTACGAGATAAGCTGTTACTGCCGGCACTGGTCCCAGAGGTAATCAACACCCTAAAAACCTTCTTTGGGCGACCGGAGCAGATCCTTGACCGTCTGATCGATAAAATTCGTAAAATAACTGTACACAAAGACAAACTAGAGTCCCTTATAGACTTTGCAATGGCGGTCCGCAACGCGTGCGCCACGATGGAGGCTTGCAACCTGTACACACATCTTGACAACCCAATGCTTCTGCGTGAACTTGTTGACAAGTTGCCCACTCAACATAAATTAAGTTGGGCCTTGCATCCGCGCAGTCCTTCCATCCCTGTTGTTAAGTCATTTAGCGACTGGATATATCATCTAGCAGAAGCCGCCTCCACAGTCATGCCTGGACAAAACTCATGGAGCGTGAACACTCATACACAAGCATTTGCCGGAGAAAAGCACCAAGCAATGAGTGACTCCGAAGACGATCAGCAACAAGACGCCAAACCAAACCCCACATGCGTCATGTGCAACTCTACCGAACATTACGCCGCCCAATGCGAGAAGTTTCTAAAATTGACAGTTCCGGAGAGACAGCGTAGAATCAGCGATGCCAAAGCTTGCTACAGATGCCTGAAGACTCACCGACGTAAATGCTTCTCCAAACGTGATTGCGGTGTTGATAATTGCCAATCGAAGCACCACCCTCTTCTCCATAGAGACGCACCTAGGCCCGAACTCGTCAGTGCTCATCATAAGGAAGCAGACTTCGAAGAACAATACTTTCGAATTTTGCCAGTGACTCTGTATGGAAACGGAGTAAGGATCAACACGTAAGCGTTCCTGGATGAGGGCTCATCTGTGACATTAATCGACGAAGGAATTCTAAAACACCTCAAAGTTTGCACATCACCCGAACCACTCTGTTTGCAGTGGACCAGCAACACCACCCGTACTGAGGAAACGTCTTTCAAGGCCCGAATGCAAATATCGGAGATGGGGAGTGGAAGAAAATTGTGGCTTAACAACGTACACTCAGTCAAGCACCTCGCGCTACCAAAGCAAACTGTCGATGTAAATAAACTCGTCGGCAGATATAATCACTTACACGGATTGCCAATAAAATCATATTATAATGCTGAACCGATGCTACTAATTGGCGCTAACAACTGGACCTTGGCTGTTCCTCGCAAAATTCGTGAGGGAAGACGCAACGAGCCCATCGCCTCAAAGTGTACTCTCGGATGGAGTATTCAAGGCACAAGCAACGCCAACAGAAATTATTCCTTCCATCACTGCGTTTGCAACTGGAACGACATCGAAAAGGCAGTAAGAGAAAGCTTCAACGCAGATCCTATCGCACCGCGAGAGCTCTTCTCCAAAGACGACGAAAAGGCTAAAGGAATTCTGGAGGAAACATGCAAGAAAGTAAACGGTAGATATCAAATTGGCTTGCTCTGGCGAGACAAGAATTTAATTCTCCCAGAGAGCTACTCAACCGCACTTAAACGCCTCGAATGCCTAAGACAGAAAATTAACAAAAATCCAGAACTATTTGACCAAATTCAAAATCAGATTGACAACTTAGTCGTAAAAAACTACGCGATCGAACTGCAACCCGCAGATATAGCTGAGGACACAAACCGTGTATGGTACCTCCCTATATTTATCGCACTAAATCCAAACAAGCCAAATAAAATAAGACTAGTTTGGGACGCAGCTGCAAAGAGCCACGGCAAATCCCTCAATGACTTTATGCTAAATGGACCGGATTATTTAAACTCGCTAACCGAAGTCCTAATGGCATTCAGAGTGGGCCGTATAGGCGTGTGCGCGGACATCGCTGAGATGTTCCACCAAATTATCATCCAGCAGAGCGACATGCATGTTCAACGATTTTTGTGGCTTCATAAGAATAATAAAACTCCACGTATATTCGTCATGCGTGCAATGACATTTGGTATCTGCTGCGCGCACTGCATTGCTCATTATGTACGTGACAAAAACGCGCAGGAGTTCAAAGATCAGTGTCCCCGAGCTTTCGAGTCTATAACAGAGGCTCATTATGTGGACGATCTCATAGACAGCTACACCGACGACTCTGAGGCGATCGCAGTAACCACAAAAGTCCGTGACATCCATGCTGAGGGAGGCTTCACTATTAGAAATTGGATCTCAAACTCTACCGCCATCCTAAAGCATTTTGGAGAGCGCCAAATAGACGAGCAGAACCCCAAAGAGCTTGGAGACCCCGAGAAGGTTCTCGGTATGTATTGGGAACCCTCGAACGACGTTTTTAAGTATACTTTCAGATTTGCGAGACTTAAAAGAGACGTACTAAACGGAGAAACTGTACCAACAAAACGTGAAGCCCTACAGGTTCTGATGTCCATTTTCGATCCTTTGGGCCTGCTATCATGTTACACAATCGGTCTTAAAATGCTACTGCAGAAAGTATGGCGTGCAGGCATAGACTGGGACGAGGAATTACCCGACACTTTACTCGGATCATGGCGACAATGGAAAACTGTCCTTCTTCAAGCTGCTAAATTGGAATTTCCTCGCTTCTACTCAACTCTGCTACCGAATGCTGACCAGATTGATTTGCACACATTTGTAGATGCGAGCGAGTACGCCTACGCAGCAGTTGCGTATCTTCGTATCAAGCAGGGAGCCGATATCGACACAGTCCTAGTAGCAGCTAAATGTAAGGTTGCCCCGCTAAAGCCAGTTTCAATACCACGCATGGAACTCCTGGCAGCAGTAATGGGAGTGAACTTAGCCAAAAAAGTTATTAATATTAGAAGGCTCAACATTAACTCAAGCACATACTGGTCAGACTCAAAAACAGTACTGCAGTGGCTGGATATGGACCCTCGAAAATTTCAAGCCTTTGTCATGCATAGAGTTGGGGAGATAATAGATCACACAAGTCGAGCTCAATGGCGCTGGATTCCGACCAAGGAAAATGTTGCAGACTCAGCCACAAAGTTTATCAAATCTCCTAACGCTAATCGCTGGTTAAAAGGTCCCCAGTTCCTAGCCAAGCCAGAAAACGAATGGCCAGAACAAGACATTACTCTCGAAAGTGGCGAACCGACGGAGCTACGTAAGCATGTCTTCATTATAAACCAACTAAAGCATTTTGATTTTGCAGAGGAATACTTTTCTGACTGGAGACGCCTGTATAGAGCCGTGGCAACCTTTATGCTATACATTAAAAGAATATGCGCTAAATGTCTTGGAAATCCACTGCCAAAAACTTTAGACCCCGAAATCATAAGCAAAGCGAAGTCGTGGATATATAAACAGGCACAATCTAGGACATACTATGCCGAAATCACTGCTCTCAAAAATAACACGGCCGTGAACAAATCAAGTCCTTTGATTGCTCTGAATGTCTACTTGGATGAGGAAGGCGTGCTACGTGTTCAGGGAAGAAAATATAACATAAATCCTGACGATGCTGTCGTTCTGCCAAAGAGGTCTCGAATTGCATTTTTGATCACGAAAGATTTCCATGAAAAATCACATCACATAATGCACGAATCGACAATAAATATCATAAGAAACGACTTCTACATACCTCGTCTACGAGTGCTGTATAAAACAGTTCGGAAGGCCTGTCAAAAATGCAAAATCGCCACATCCAGGCCCGAAGTACCTCAAATGGCTGCAATACCAGCCGCACGACTAGCCTCCTTCGAGAGACCCTTTACATACACAGGAGTTGACTACTTTGGTCCCATACTAGTTAACGTCGGCAGACACAAGGAAAAACGATGGGGAGTCCTCTTTACATGCCTGACACTGAGAGCCGTACATATAGAAGTGGCCTATAAACTTGATGTAAGCTCGTGTATAATGTGTCTTCGAAATTTCATGACACGTCGCGGGACTCCAAAAGAAATCTTCTCCGACAACGGAACCAACTTTAAAGCAACTGAGAAGATGGTGAAAGAAGAACTCAAAAAGATTGACTTTGACGAAATCACTATAAAGTATGAGGCGATTAAATGGCACTTCAACCCACCAGCGGCACCGCATATGGGAGGTGCTTGGGAGCGACTCGTCAGATCAGTTAAGACTGTTTTGAAATCAATCTGCCCAACTAGTAACTTCAATGACGAGACCCTTCGAACAGCTCTTATGGAAGCAGAAAACGTCATCAATTCTAGACCACTAACCTTTGTCTCTTTAGATTCAGGCGACGACGAAGCGCTCACCCCAAATCATTTACTTCTGGGATCGACGAGCGGCTATAAGCGCATGGCAGACGACAACACCGATCTAAGGCTGCGTTGGCAACAGACTCAACTATTCGCGGACAAGTTCTGGAGCCGCTGGGTGAAGGAATTCACCCCAGACTTGACCAGACGTAGCAAGTGGTTCACCAAACGTCCCCCAATAGCTATCGGCGACATTGTTATAGTAGTCGACGATCAACTTCCAAGGAACATGTGGCCCAAAGGACGCATCACTGAAGTAGTGACGGCCAAAGATGGCCAAGTTCGACGAGCTACAATTTGGACACCGAAAGGAATCATGGTCCGCCCAGTGGCCAAGATTGCTATCCTAGACGTCGGCCTAAAAGACGGTGAAGATCCGAAGGACGTTCACCGGGGGGGGAATGTTACCGCCATAAAATAGATACCGAATCTTTAGCTGGGCGATAAAAGGTGTGACCATTGAGTTTCTAAGAATTGAAGGTATTTTTCCTGGAAATGTATCTGGCCACTTGAGAAAGCACCGGCCTGGGATAAAATACAAAGTTTTTTAAAGCTGCGCATTTTTTTTGTAAAACTTAATGAAATAAATAAAGTGACTGCTATATAAATTTGTCGAACATCTAATAACTCTACGCCAATCATCCGTGCTCTCAACAATAAGTATATATGTATTTAAATAGAGCTTCCATCATAAGTAATCATAAGCTTTCCTACCTATTGTAAGCTTTATAAAAAACATAAGCTTGATCTGCGCTCAGTCTTAAACGGATCACGACTCAAGAACGACATACTACGAATGTATACTTTGGAAATAACTATTTTTCTTAATAAATAAAGAACAAATAAATAAAAGTTTGAACTAAAGTTATTCTCCAAGGCGATAACTTAACTGGCGACGAGGATAAAAACAATAAAAAGTTATTTTTGAGAAAGAAATAACATCACTGCACTAACCATCACGTGCACGAGCGGCAAAGCAACGGGAACCGAAAAGAGAACTACAAGGGGTCTCAAGCAGAAGCGACAGTGGAAAATTACCGGCGATTACATCAGAGGTGCCTATCCCAAGGGCATACATAAGCAATAGGTCAAGAAAAGGTAAATTGTGCGACAAGTTTTTCTTTTGGAACAACAATTATTTTTTTTTGGAACAACAAGTACAAAAAAAAAAAATGGATCCCAATTCAATTAACGCATTTAATTCAACATTGAACTGCTTAAAAAACGTACAAAATTTCGACGGTAGCGATCACAACCAACTGTCCGACTTTATTTCCCAAATCAACTCTATTGAACCAATGATTAATGGATGATAGCACACAAAAAATACTCTTCGGTTTTATACGAAATAAATGCACTGGGCTGACAAGACCAGTTATTCATCGGTATGCGGTAGTCGAATCGTGGGATCAACTTAAAGAAATATTGATTAAAAATTTTGGCGAAAAGGAAAACAGCGACGCGTTAATGGACATGCTAAAACTATGTAGAGTTGATTCGACTATTGAACAATATTACGACAAAATAAACGAAATAGCAAATCGTCTGTATAGCCGCATTCTGACCAATAATGACACGACCTTTACCGTTTCCGAAATAAACCGAATATCTCTGCGGGTGTTTAGGGATAACCTACCAGAACCTTCGAAATCCATGATCTTCGCGAGAGATCCGAAAACACTTGACGATGCGTATAAAATAATTGAAGACGCACGACAACAAAACTATACAGTTTATGGGCCGATTCGTAAGACCAGAATAAATAAACCGAATTTCCGAACAAATTTCAGTGACGACACTCAGAACACAACTGAGCAAATCGCAACCGTCTCACAGAACGAGGAAGCCCATAAGCAAACTACCTTTAGGCCTGCCAACAAATATACTGAGGTGCACAGAAACCCAAACGTTAGAGGCCAAGACAACCATAGTTTTATTAAAGACAGTACATCTAGCACCAAAACAAGAATGTCAACAAACAGTACAATTAAAAGCACAGGGCAGAACAAGCAGCCCGTAGAGTTAATGGACATAAATGAACTTAGCGTAAATTTTCAAATGGAAGGGTCAGACGACTACCCTATATAAAAATAAAAACAAAGATCCGAACGCTCTTATTTGTAATCGACACAGGTGCAGAGTTCAGCATTATTAACGAAAACGTATGTAACCCAAAATGGAAAACTGATGTTGAAATCGAAGTTAGGGCCCTAGGCAATAAAGTAAAAATAAAAAAGTTATGCAGATTTCCATGCTTTGAAGAGTTCCAGCAAGAAAATTATTGGTGCGAATTCTTAGAATATAATTTCCACAATGAATTCGACGGCTTAACCGGCGGAAACATCCTTAATGACCTCAACGCAATTATAGATTATCCGAATAAACAACTGATAATTAATAATGTGCCGTTAGCATTCTATTTACAGGAAGACCCAAACAAATCATACAGTCCAGCAATGAATAGTACTTTTCAATGTAAAAATATTAATAAAAAGACAATCGGGTCACTGGAACAGCTATTATCACAATTCGATCATCTTTTCTATAGAGAAGGTCAAAATCTCAGCTTCACCAGTGAAATTAAACATACCATTGACACAAAAAATGATATCCCATGCTATTCAAAATCTTATAGATACCCAGAAATACACAAAGATGAGGTGAACAAGCAAATTGATGAAATGCTCAAACACGGCATAATCCGACACTCGAAGAGCCCATACAGCAGCCCGTTGTGGGTGGTCCAAAGAAAAAATAGACTCATCAAATTTACAAAAGTGGCGACTAGTCGTTGATTACCGGAAACTCAACAAAGAGACCATAGAAGATAGGTTTCCTATACCAAACATCGACGAGATATTTGATAAGCTGGAAGGATGCAAGTTTTTTACAACCTTAGATCTTGCGAAAGGATTTTATCAAATCGAAATGAATCCCGCCGATATACACAAGACAGCTTTTTCGACCACAAATGGGCACTACGAATTCCTACGAATGCCGTTCGGCCTCAGAAACGCCCCATTCACTTTTCAGCGCCAAATGAATCATGTTCTTCGGCCACATATAGGTATCATATGCTTGGTGTATATGGACGATGTTCTAATTTTTTTCAAAAAACCTAGAAAAACATATAGAGCACATTAGCACAATTTTTGACTGCTTTACAAAAGCAAACCTAAAACTCCAAATCGACAAATGCAAGTTTGCCAAAGAAGAGATAGAATTTTTAGGACACACAATCAATGCCGAAGGTTTGAAACCCAGCCAATTAAAAGTAGATGCTATAAATAGAATAAAACTGCCTACAAATCAAAAACAAATTAAAAGCTTTTTGGGCATGACGGGATATTTACGACGCTATATAAAAGATTATGCTAAAATTGCACAGCCTCTTATTAAATATTTAAAGAAAAACGCTAAGGTAAATTCAAGCGACCACGATTATATAGAAGCTTTCAATAAACTAAAATTGATAATTACTAGCGACCCAATTGTTGTATACCCTGACTTTACGAAGGAATTTACGCTCGTCACAGATGCAAGCAACCATGCCTTAGGAGCTGTACTAATGCAAAACGACAAAGTCATTTGCTATGCAAGCAGATCACTAAAAAGCAATGAATTAAACTATAGTACGATCGAGAAGGAACTCCTGGCAATCTATTGGGCTACAAACTACTTTAGATACTATTTATATGGAAGAAAATTCTTAATGAAAACTGACCATAAACCGTTGGTATGGCTTCACAACCTAAAAGAGCCTAATTTAAAATTACAGCGCTGGAAAATTCAACTTAATGCATTTGATTTCGATCTATCTTTTATTAAAGGAAAAGAAAATGCATTAGCAGACGGTCTCAGCAGGATTAGAGAACCAAACGCCGAACACGATGAAAACCATTTAGACGAGACAATTGATATTGACGTTTCAGATATATTTTTAATTGAAACCGGAAGAATCATCGCCCACGAAAATATGAAAGTCGACGGGCAAGATCAAGATTTCTCAGAAGACTTAATTAATCTGTTTACTAGCGAATACGATCTAGAAACGATTCATAGTGCAGAGACTGACGACCGTAACTTTATTAAAATCACTGAGAAATGCTTAAATATTTTCAAGATACAAATAATTATAATAGCTGCAGAACACGAATCGCGAACCACAAAAATTTTGTACAAAAAGAAAGTAAGACACATTGTTAAATCAAACGGTGATCCAAGAAACGTATTAACATTTATGCAAGAAATTATACCAGAAAAGGGAGTTGTCGCTATTTACTGTGAAGACCTTTCTTTATACCTAAAATTTCAAGAAAACCATAGACAATTTTTTTCTAATAACATAAATTTAAAAATAATAAAATCTACAACCTTATTAGAAGATATCACAGACAAAGAAAAAATTCTCAGAATTATTGAAAAAGAACATTTAAAAAATAATCATAGAGGCATACAAGAAACATTCTTAGAAATTAAGCAATCATACTATTACCCCAATTTGTTAAAAGAAATTCAAAAACACATTAATAATTGCACTGTATGTAATTTAGCAAAATTCGATCGCCATCCTGTAAAATATAACTTTTGTCTAACAGAAACGCCACAAAAACAAAATGAAATTATTCATATGGATATTTGGTATCCTCAAAGGAATATAATGTATCTCACTACGATCGATAAGTTAAGTAAATACGCTACTTGTCATTATTTAAAGGATAGATCATGGATATCGTTACTTAACGCAATAAAATGTAGAATACAATATTTAGGGAAACCAAATAAAATCGTCACAGACAATGAATTTAAAAAATTAACTATTCAAGAATACCTAAAGGAAAACCAAATCGAAATTCATTTTACCACTCCATACAAAAAAACCGGGAATTCAGATATAGAAAGACTTCACCTTACGCTAAATGAACATATTAGACTCTTTAATGCTGATAACAATAACAAAGATTCTATCCAAGAAAAAGTTTTGAAAGCTATAATTTGTTACAATAACACTATACACAGTACCACTAATACTAGGCCAATTGACCTCTTAAATAATTTATTTTCTACCAGCGATATAGAAGAGTTAACTAATAAGCTGGCTAATAATAAAAGCTTAAATCATTCAAAACAGACCAATGAAAATAACCTTAATTTCAACAACGAATTTGTAAAAAATAATACTGTTGGTAAATCAAAGCCGAAATATAAACAAATCAACGATTATAGGGAAGACGGAAACTATCTCGTATCTAATAGCAACCCAAATAAAAAAATCTACAAAGACCAAGTAAAGAGAATATACAAATGTCAAAATTAGATATGTAAGCTCTTTTGTATTAACCTTTAAGTTATTTAAGAACTATATTCTTAAAACTTGCGCTGGGGGTGTCATATATACCTACATTCATTATTATTAAATAT